GGACTGTGAGACCCTAAAAAACGAGATTGAGGACTTGATACGCAGAGGATACCTTAATAAATTTGTGGGAAAAGACAGAAGCAACCCTCAACCCCGGCGAAGCCGCTCGAAAGATCGAAGTCGTAGTCCTATGAGGGGTAATCCTAAGGCCCAAAGTCCGAGGAGGGACAACACTCAAGTTGCTGGGGTCATAGCCGTCATCGCTGGAGGACCATCCGGTGGAGAAAGCAATTCTGCTCGCAAAGCATATGCAAGGCAACCTAGAACAAGTGAGCCGCAAGAGAAAAAGGCTCGTAGGAAGACACAAATAACCTTTACCGATGAAGACACGGGTAACATTCTAACTCCTCATGATGATCCCATGGTCGTTACGCTTACTATTGGGAATTACGGGGTCAAAAGAGTGTTGGTGGATAGTGGCAGCTCGACTGATATCATATTCAATGATGCATTCGAGAAGATGAAAATTGGTCGTGAATGACTAAGGCCAGTCAAAACTCCACTCATGGGGTTCACAGGTGAAACCGTGGAGCCGGAGGGAATTATAACTCTCCCGTTAACTGCAGGGGATTCACCCCAGCAGACCACGGTCATGATGGATTTCTTAGTTGTGAAGGTCCCTTCCAATTACAATGGCATCCTTGGACGACCAGGGTTGAACAAGATGAAGGCCATAGTCTCTACATATCACATGCTTATGAAGTTCCCGACCGAGAATGGCATCGAGAAAGTTCGTGGAGACCAAGAGGTAGCCAGACAATGTTATGTGGCCTCACTCAAAGGTAAAAGAAAGAACTCGGAGGCTCTGACCATAGAGAGCTTGGATCCAGAGGAAAAGGTTAACAAAGCGGGAGCCAGTAGAGACCTTAGTCTCAATTGAGCTTTATGAAGGGGACAATGATAAGGTTGTGAGAATAGGGTCCTCATTGCCCGAGGACCTTAAGACAAAGCTTGTCCAATTCTTGAGAGAAAATGCCGAAGTCTTTGCTTGAAGTCCATCTGACATGTCGGAAATTGACCCTGAGGTCATAGTCCACCGACTAAATGTGGACCCTAGATTTAAGCCGGTTCAACAGAATAAAAAGAGTTTTGCCCCAGATAGGATCCAAGCGATCAACGGAGAGGTGGATAAGCTCTTAGATGCTGACTACATAAAGGAGGTAGATTATCCCGAGTGGTTGTCCAATGTTGTCTTGGTTTTGAAAACAAGTGGCAATTCGAGGATGTGCATAGACTTTACAAGTCTAAACAAGGCGTGTCCCAAGAACAGCTTTCCCTTACCGAGGATAGACCAACTGGTAGACGCCACCGCCGGATGTGAAGTCCTCAGCTTCATGAATGCATTTCAAGGGTACCATCAGATAAGGATGCACCCAGAGGATGAAGCCAAAACTTCTTTCGTCACCGACCGAGGCCTATATTGCTACAAGGTCATGCCTCTCGGTCTGAAGAACGCGGGGGCTACATACCAGAGGCTAGTGAACAAGATCTTTAAAAACCAGATTGGTAAAAACATTGAAGTGTATGTTGACGACATGCTAGCAAAAAGTCCACGTGCGGAGAACCACATAGATGACTTAGAGAAGACCTTCGCAGTGTTGAAGCATTACAAGATGAAGCTCAACCCCAACAAGTGCGCTTTTGGGTGACCTCGGGAAAGTTTCTTGGATACATGGTTACACAACGAGGAATCGAGGCGAACCCCGAG